AGCCATTCATTTAGCATAACTTCTTATATAAGTGGGTTGACTTCGTTTTCGCAGCTTGGTCTCGTTGTCAGGCCGACTTAGTTGGACGCACTTTGTTACCCTAACAACAAGACCAGGTTGCGAAAACGAGCTAAACCCACTTATATACATCGAAAGGAGACTGATCATACCGAGGGTCATACTGTCTTGGTCTTCATATCTTTTATTAACTTCTTATAGTTAAAGGGAAACTTATTTGCGGTGACAAGTTATGCTGGTATTTGATTAATGATATTTAGAACTACATGGTAATTATGTGACTGAGAATTTTTATTGAATTATTAATTGAGAGTTTAGTCTTATGGACGTTGTTCCAACTTCAGATTTCTGTCATTAACATACTTTTTACTCATAATAGCCGTTTTTAATTTTTCCCTTCTTATTTTAAGTTGGATATGATGACATTTGAAAGAGAAATGGAGGAGGCTGGAGAAGCGGATCCTCTGTTCGTTTCCGGGATTAGTGGCGATACTGTCGGATTGGGAGTCGATGGTCAAGCGCTAACCGAGTCCGCTGACGCGGTTGAAGAGTGGCGCCTCGAGAAGCGCTCCAAGGTGATGCTACGCATGTTACGTGCTCATCAAATACAGCATGGGTGGTCCGAACCGCTAGTATTGCAAAACCTTTGTGTGAGCAATAACAAGAAGCAGGTACTATTACTTTAAGAATGTGCTATTTAATTACAAACTGTCGAACCTGCGACTAATTTGTTAGTCTTTTTGGGCTTTGGTAAACTTTTTTTAGAGTAACTGATTTTGCTTATTTAAGCTTCAATTAACTCTGCTTTTATTCTTTAAATGGGTGGATGTTTTTCAAGGCCCTTCTTCAGTTCTCATTTTAGGTAAGAACTCGATCATTTAACGCTATCTTAGTACTAAATGTGCTTATTTAGGATGTACTGCTAATTTTGAGACATTTCGATCTTCAGTAATTTCATCTGGCAGGCAGGTAACGTTACTACATATCATTAACGGCTCTGTTTTGAATTTCATTGGGGTTGTTAATAGATGTAAGCTAAATCAATAGTGAAATTCACCTCAATAAGAACGTCTTTCTGTCGAAAATCTGTGAAATCGATCTCTTGAGACCTACTGATTTTATTATTTAAAATTCAATCAGCGATGCTTGAATGATCGTGCGTGACTTAAGATTTTGTTCAGTATTTAAAGTTTCGGGACATTCTCATTTAGTGCGATGGAAATACGCGCTTGAATACATTATTCGGGTTTTGGAAATATTTTATACTTTTTTGGCATTAATTGAGTATTCATTATATAACTGAACCTATTACCTGTGTCCTTTTCTCTACCGTCACCAAAGGTAAACTATGTAAGTAATCTAGAGTGATTAATTTTTTTCGCAGGTGTAAAGACCAATATAGTGTGGCGTGCATTTTGGTTGCAGTCTCTTAGTCTTATAGTGTTGGTTTGACCTCATTTTCATAACTTGGTCGAAGCATCAGGGAAATCTTGTGGGACATACCTATTCATGTGTCCTTCGCCATAGTATTCGTGATTTCTAGCATCGGACAATTGACTTGGTACATTCCTAAACGTTTACTCGTTTTATTTTATTGTTTAAACCTTGCTAAGTATCGTTTCGGAAAATCTGACTTGTTGCCTTGTTCAGGATACAGTTTCCTTATTTTCCTTCTTTCTAACTCATTCTTGAAGCTATTGTTGAACTTTTTATACTATCCATCACATGACACCAATTATGATAGGTTTTTAAAGTCCATACGCTCACTGTTCCCATAATTGTCGAAAGATTATAGAGCCACAATACTTTTAGGTTGATTAAACCACTTTCAGAGGAATAGGTCCGTTCCGATTAATCAAAAATTTTAAATTAAACGCTCATATCTTTATTTTTAGGCCGCTTCCAAGTTTTACACTTTGCTGCTTCTCCGAAAACAGTTAGCCGTGGATATACACCAAGGAGAACCATACTCCGATATATTTATCTTACAAGGCCCCAACTTTCAGAGTCTTGTTGAGGCAGCTTAGCATAACAGAATTTTTTTCTAATTTTTTGACTTTATTTTCACGACCATCTATAAAATACCTATGCA